TAATCTCATTCCCTGGGGTCCTTGTATTTAGTGGGCACAACAGTTGGTCACACAGCTTGCAAAATGAGTCAACAGCGAGACACTGGTCTCCAGGCAGAGCATGTTGAGGTAGACAGAGCAGGTTGGAAAGGACCTGAACACTTCAGGGCATCAGGTTTCCATTGACCTGACATGTGGCACTAAAAAAGAGAAGTAAAAAGGTATACAAATACGTAACACATTTTATGAAGTGGAGGGAAGCAAGGCTCATATGCCTGCCTGGGATGACAAATTCACGTCTCCATGGTGTTCAGACTTTCTGGATTTGGTGTCTGCACCAAGCTACAGTAAGTACCCTGTGAGGCTTCAAAAAGATATTCCCAGAAATATGGAAAACTATTCCTAAAAATCCTAATTCCAAGAAACCTACCCAAACTCGAAGGAAGCAAACCTCCCTAGCTTCTATAATGTGGCTTTAACAGTTAGGAAATCAGCACCGTGGTTCTTTTCTTTGGAAACTAGAAGATCTAGCACTTTGCCTATCCCTCGAGGTGGGAAAGGAAAGTCTTACAGAAAACAGCAGTTGGCATAAAGGACTCAGGAGCAGAACAGTCATGGCGATTGTTTAGCACAGGCAGACATAGTGGGTTTAGAGCCTGAGCATTGGATTAGACAAATCTGGATTTGAGATGTGACTATGTCACCCATTAGCTATGTGTCCACAAGCAAGCTACTTAAGTCACCTGAGCTCAGTCTCCTTATCTGTACATGGGAACAATACCACCCACATCACAGAGTTGTTGATTTACTCCCCAAACCTTTATTTTGTGTTTCTAAGTCTGGGTGCTGCTTGGTGCTGAAGACATAGCAATAAACAAAACAGAAGCGCCGGCCCTCATGGATTTTATGGTCTTCCCTGGTGGCAGTGGGGCTCGACAACAAGCAATCAAACAAGCAAATATATAGTGTGGCTATGCATGTAATAGGAAAATTAGCAGGATAAGGGAGATAAGGGAGTGCTGGTGGGGGCGGGGTGGTCGGGGAAAACCTCTCTAATAGGCTGATATTAAGAAGAGTAGGGGTGAGCTTTCCAGCCAGAAGAACCATAAGTGCAAAGGCCATGAGGCCAGATCATGTGTGGTGTGTTCAATGAGCAGTAAGGAGACCAGAGTTGGGAGCAAAGGTGGCAAAGGGAGAGTGTCAGTGCACACTAAGAAAAGAGTTGTAGGCCCTGGTGAACTGAGTGAACTGAGGAGCTGTTAGAAGGTTCAGAGCAAAAGTGTGGCACGATCTCACTTAGGTTTTGAAAGAGCACTCTGGCTGCTGTGTTGAGAACAGACTCTAGAGAAACTAGGACTGAACCTTAGATAAGGTGCTATTGCAATAGTTTAGTGAGAGATGGTAGGGTAGTGAGAGGAATATATAGTCAGATGCAGGTCTGTTTTAAAGGCAGAGCCCACCGGATTGGGTGACAGATTGGATGTGTGGTGTGAGAGGAAGTTGTGGAGGAAACTAAATGAGATAAATATATGTGAAATGCTTCACACATGGCAGGCTTTCATGTTAAGTTCCAACATGTTTACTTTTGGGAAACTGAGACTGGAAAGATGAGTTGATATGTTCAAGGCAACNCCACCTTCATCTCCTCACCACCACATGTGACATTTTCCTAAAAACAGTACACAATCTCAGATTGCACCACCAGATGCCAACAGGTGTCCCTCAAAAAACAAAAAAAAAATGTGTCAGTGTCAGGTGAGTTTGGAAAATCTTGTGTTAAACCAGTCTCTTCAGTGTAGGGCTCAATCTAAGAACCTTTCATAGGCTATTGAATGTTGTGAACTTCCAGGAGGAACTAGAGAACCCAGTACTCCCCCAGGGAACTTGGCCTTTGAGCCCATTTGCAGGGAAGGCTATTAACAGTTTGCTGGATCTGAGTGTAGGGGGCAGTGCACTGTGGGGGACAGTGACCTGTGCTCTCTGCCTGGGGACAGACAGAGGGAGGAGTGGAAGGCAGGACAGGAGCTTCTCAGGGTCAGCTCAGCAGGAGCAAATGGGGCAGGCCCAGATGGAAAGACAGATGAGGAAGACAGGTCTTGTTGGGGAGATCCATGAATAGGAGAAAACTCATATTGCAGAAGGTGGAATGGCCAGATGCAACTATCTCCAAAATCTTTGCTTAGAGGTTCCCCAATTCTAGCTACGTGGCTAGGACTTAGGGAGGGAAGCAAATCCATACCACAGTTTGAGATGAGTTTGATTTTGCCAATTCTACCTTCTGAACCCTGAAACAATGGAAGAGGAGAAAAAACCCTTAGAGCAAGCCCCTTAGCAGCCACCTTTCAGGAAGGCCCTGGGGAACACCACCTACCTCAGCCACCTGGGCAGGTCATGACTCTCCAGGAACTTGATTTGGCAGACTTGGTAACATAGGAATAATTTTTGACACCTGTCTCAAAGGAAGTTGTGAGGCAATCCAACAGGTACAGCACAGAGTGCCCAGAGTGCAGTGTGACTATTATTGCGACTTCCTCTTTGATGGGTTGCACTTCTTTTTCTCTGTCATCATCTCTTCATCTTTCTTAGGTCAAAAGGAAGAGAGGCTGGCCCTCGAAACTGCTCTGATGTATGGAGTTAAAAAGTCCCTCAACACAGATGGTGTCGCCAAACAGAGGTCTGACGTGGACATGGATTTCGAAGTGGAAAACGCTGTGCTGGGAACAAACTTCACGCTCACCATCACCTTCCAGAACAACAGCCCCAATTCTTACACCCTCTCAGCCTATCTCTCGGGCAACATCACCTTCTACACCGGAGTCTCCAAGGAGGAGTTCAAGAACGAGACATTCGACGTGACACTGGAGCCTTTGTCCTGTAAGCTAACGAGGGGGGCTTGCGATCTGCTTCCCTGTCTAGCTCGGTGCTGACACCCCTAATAACTTTCTGTCAAAGTTAAAGTCCTGCCCCAGAATTCAGGAGCGTAAAGCACATGGGAGAACCAACTCCCAAAGAGGCCTCACCTTTCCTCTTCATGTCTCAC